CAATCTATATCACTGAGATAAGAAATAGAATCATTTCAGTTCTAGCTTGGACCATGATTGCATCAACACTTGTCCATTCGTGTATTTCTCTTGATTTTTTTGTTAGTATTTCAATCTATAATTATTCTTGAACTACTTGTCATTAGATTAATTATTAAATAATTGTAATTTCATTAGCCTAAGTAATATGGATAGGTTAAATTTAATTACACAGCATGTTCATTATTTTCAATTATTTATTCAGTAAATATGTGATAATTTTCTTGTAAAATCATTTAAATTTTCTAATGTCACATAGTTTAGTGTTTTATGGTTCATATAATTTTTGTGAGGAAGCATTGTCGTATGTAAAAGAATATATTTTACCTCACTACCTAGAATAACCAAAACAATTTGGTAAGCGGTGTGAATTAAATAAATCAAAATTTACATAATACCTAATTCTTATTAGGAGTATTTTCCTAATGACATAAAATAGTATATTTCTAAGTTGAGACGAAGTTGAGAAACGATCAAGAGCTGCAAAACCATTTCGGTCCATGGTACGAACGCTATTTTTCACCACACTATACCTTATTTCACTATTCACCACAATAATAATGCACTCTGATAGTCAACACAACTACAACTTTAAGGTTATGTGAAGAAATAATTTGAGGAATCAGCTAAAATAATAATAAATAGTTGCTAGGCAACGGTGACAATAAAACAATTCGATCTATTCTATGGATACTCATTGTGTATTTAATATGCATTCATGTTTTAAGAAAGTAAGCGGGCAGCTCATTTTGCTGCCCTAGGGATGTAAAAACCTGTTCGGTCCCCAAATGACGATGACAGCTGGCATGGCCAGCAAAATGTAGCTTTCAGCCACCAATTAACGTATGTTAAACAGCTAAAAACATCATAGTGTGGTGAAAAAACATGTGCTTACCACTTGCTATTAATTTTAAGCCTCAGTGTTTTTAGTGTGAAAATTTTATGCATTTTTTTAAATTTATACCCAGGGTAGAAAATATGGGAAATGTACTTAGAAACTTAAAATTAATTCTGTTACCTATTCTTTCTTCTTATTTGTATTCAGATTTGTGACTTTCTTTGTGTGTAGCGATATTTATAATGGAAGGATTCTAAGAGATGTTCTTTGTCATCTTTAGTGTTTATGGATTCTTCTTTACGTAGCAATCTGCTGCGTCCAATAGGCAAGAAATTAGACAGGTGTGTTGTGATCCCAGAATCACTGCTGTTACTGGCATCAGAGTTGGTCTCGACAGTTCTGTCTCTGTTATACGTGATTTGAACCTTGCAAGACAAGTGTGTGCTTAATTATGTGTAGGCGATGGTCGTACATCAAGAAGATTTGTTAGTGGACATTCAAACAGCGTTGCCAACATTTTTGCCCTCTTGTATTCCAAGAACATCGACAATAACAACAAAACATTAGCACAAGTGTTGTCTTATCTTGCATAATTGGCTAAGGTCTAAATGACATTTATTATTTTGGTCGGGAATCGTAAGTGGTTTATTCCTGAAATTTAATGATTCATTTTTTCATGAAATGGTGATTAAGAAGTTTATATTTTTTGTGGTTACAATTTGCAACACTGAATGTATCAATTCGTATAGTAAATAATAAGTGTAACTCCTTAATTTGTACTATACTTAGTTTGTTAGGTTTTGGTGTTTGGGGCCTATCACAAATAACATATAATTACTGTAATAGAAGGTCTCTCTCTCAGAATCTAGTAAAAGTGTGTAATAAATTTAATTTTAAGTTACAATAGTCTACATTAAACATCCGTTTAAAATTTATATTTTTACAAATTTTGCATTTTATTACAAAGAGTCATTAACTGTATAGTGAACAGCTTGTTTGTTGTCGCTGTGCGTGTGTGTGAGTGTGTGTGTGTTAGTGTGTGTGGGAGCGTGGGGCAGGCAGGGCAGTGTGCCAGGTGTATTTTTACCTCTCAACGCAGCGTCGTGCCTCAGTCGTGGATTGACAGCATGTCGAGCTACCACCAGCATGATCGCTCCGCGCGACGTCCCTCTTCGCGTCCCAGGAGTTTGTACGCCGCGCAAGGTGCATCCTCAAACTACCTCTCAAACTATGGGCCCTCATCCTCAAATTATGGGTCGTCATCATCAAATTATGGGCCGTCATCGAATTATGGATCATCCAACTATGGATCATCCAACTACGGTTCATCATCTAACTACGGGTCTTCCTCATCTCCCTACCTCAACAGTTCCCCCTATGCATCGTCTTCGTATAGTTCTCCATACTCAAACCATTCTCCATACAGCACCTATGGTGGAACAACGTCCGGCTATGGCGGACTCATGGTACCGTCTTCGAGCACGTATAACTTATCGTCCTCGTCCTCTAAGTTGTCTTCGTCTCCGAACTCATATTCTAGCTCTTACTTAAACAATCTGTTGCAATCAAGTGGAAACGGTAGGACTGCTTCACCAACATATTCCATGAGAACTACTTCCCCCAACTCATCATTCTCTAAAACTCGTCAGTCATCGGGCAGTTCCCGACAGGTGACTAGTCGTTCCAACAGCTTCAACAGACATCAGCCGTCACCACTCACAGCCAAGTCAAGGTCTTCCTCGGCAGTCTCACTCAGGAGTGACACTTCCGAAGGTTACGCTGTAAGATTTTTTTCTCAAAATCAATAATTTGTGTGTAGATTTTTTAAGTTTGAGCTTTTTTGTGAAATTATTTGTTGATGGTCTGTGGTGTGGATCTTAGTTAAGAAATATGTATAGGCAACAATATGTGTGCTTATAGTTATCTTTAAAATATCTTTAGGAAATTTGTATGATTTGTCCATCTTTGATTGGCATAATATTACCATAGTTCTCTGAAAATGTTATAGTAATTGTCATGGTTTGTTCTTGGATTAAGTTTAAGCCATCTGGATTTTGCAATGATTTCTTTCACTTAAAATGAGGTGCTACACACACACCTCAAGGTTTCATTTCATTTTAGGGGTATCTCTTACATTGTCAGTTTAAGGTAATTTTGCACACAATTTTGCTAGAAGTGCTTAAAGGATCAATTTTAATTTTATATACAGTTGATTACGGTAGGTTTATCTATTTTACCACTTTTTGCTGTTGAATTTAGTAATTAGTCTACAATTTAATAGCTTGGTTTAGAGTAGAAATCTGTTATTGTCAAACTCAGAAGTAGGTAGAATGGTTTTATACCTAAGCCAACAAATATACATAAACCAAAAAATATAATACAACAATATTTTATAACATAATATCCAAAACTTAAGGGTTTTTGTAAGGCCTTCCTCAAATTTTCCGTTGTCCTAGCATAAACAATAAAGCACATATCAGACTATTTGACTATTTCAAATAAAATTTTACTTCAACAAATATTTGTTTAAATGTAAACGATCTACCAGGTTTAGGTAACCTATCAAGCAAATTCAGTACTAGTGTGTTTGTAGTAATTCATCAGAAAGAAGATTTGAAGTTATTCTTTTGCAACAATATTTTTATGGTTATTCATAATCATGACGTGGAAATCGGTCTAAATGGTGTGCAATAAACAAACCTTGACTTCTGAAAATGTTCATGTAGGGCCTACATAATTTTCATTGTGTTTTTACTACATTGGCATTTTTAAAGTTTATTTGGAGGAGGTCCAAATTTTATTAACATGATAACATGTTTACTATTGGTTACAGAAAAGCCACTTCTTTATTCGTTCTTTGACCAGTTTGGAACAATATGTTTTCTAACCATCCTTTGAATCTAGATTTCAGTACATTTCTATTGCCAAATCATGCTTAAAACTGATAAATATGATCTGTCTGTGACATTAACCAAGAAACCAATCTCATCCACATCTGGTTACATTTTTTTTTCATTTTTCATTTTTGTCGAAAGAACCAAGGCTCCCGAACGACTACCCGGTACCTAGTTATCCTTAACCCGGGCCCCATGGCGTAGGCCGGAGCTTACGCACCAACCCTGAACACACCATGGGGTGGATGACTTAAGGCCATCAAGCTCATCGGCTGCCAAACGGCAAATGACCCATCGGAAAGAGGGTTGCCCCTCAATCCTAACCAGGGATACAGAGCAACACTCAGGACCTATCTAATCCCTGACAGGCAGAACCCGCCATCAAAGCCAGGAGGAAGGGGACCGTCAGCTGGGACCCCAACCACCTATTTGCACCACTACCCGATCGAGGCCTACCCATTTACTGGGAAACTAGAGATAACCAGGGCGATAGATCCCCAGATATCCCCAGCGGGCTTGACCCCAGCACCCGATCTACTTCATTTGCCCATCCAGCCCAACATCACTGCCAGGCCATCAGGGTTTCCCAAAAGGAGGCAGGTATAGAAGTGGGACCCACCCGGATGAACCTATCCACCAAAGGTGGCGACACCCTTAACTCAATTGAGGTTCCAGGGAGAACCCCCCACACTCTAGATAACCATACCTTCCGGGCTCAGAGACAGACAGGGATTGGGTGATGGAGTGCGCCCAGCCGTTGCCCTCACACTGCGGAAAGTTACGTTACCCTAGAGTGTCCCCATGAGCTTACGGGTACTCGCCCGATTCCACCTCCAGGAAAGGCTACTTCCAAAGTCAAGGATTTGCCACACAAAATGTTGATCGCACACAGCAACTTGATCGCACATCTGGTTACAGTACTTATTGATATTCAAACTTCAGGTGTATTTGCAACCAATATTCCTGTGATGTGGGTTATCAACGTAGATGATCAATTTTAGCGCCGACTTACTTGAACTCTATTGTCAGTGATTGATATCCAGAAATAGATATGTCGGGATTAAAACCTTTCAAGACCCTCCTCTCCACCATTTACCATAAATGTCAGTCCCTCCCCTAATTGTTGTAGGTTTTTATGTAGATTTTGTTAAATCGTCAGAATAAAAATGTATCAATAATTGATTATAAGGTACAAACATGTTGAACTGAGTCAATGGATTGTGTTGCAGAGTGGAACCGAGAGGTCAGGCAGATCTTCAAGGCTAAGTTCATCAACCGATGGTGAAGCAACTGCCAATGGAGAGATTGATTATAAGAAGGTAATATTCGCCAACACTGTGTAATATTCATATTGCGCTTGAATTAATTTGTGGACAATTTACAACAAAAATTATGAATACTAGCTCATTTTCATATATTGGTTTTTTATGTAATGTAATCTTTTCTTGGGCTATTTTATTAGATAACAACATATAGAAATAATGTCAGTTTTCATCATGTCCAAAATATTATTCGATCTAACATTATTTTTTCTTTTCTGCTAACTCATAGTGCACCATTTCTTTAGTGTCAAAATAAAAAGAACTCTGTTACATTTAATGCCATTGTTAGATTACCTAAAACAGTTCAGAAGTTTTTAGGCATGTAAGCCATTTTAGAGCATAGTGGAAATTCCTTTTTTTGTTTCCGTCATGTAATATTGAATCCGGTTTCATCCCCTAGGCATGTAAGCCATTTTAGAGCATAGTGGAAATTCCTTTTTTGGTTTCCGTCATGTAATATTCAATCCGGTTTCATCCCCTAGGCATGTAAGCCATTTTAGAGCATAGTGGAAATTACCTTTTTTTGTTTCCGTCATGTAATAATAAATCCGGTTTCATCCCCTGTCACAATTGATTTCAAAAAGTTGTCTCCTTCATCATGACAACGCTCAAGGAACTCCAAAGCTGACACCATTTGTCAAGTTTTGTGGCAGTCCGTCAACATTTTTGGGACCCAACGAGCTCAAAGTTTTTTTGTAGCCTAACCGTTCAGTAACAATAGAGTACAAAACAGACATTGAAACTTCTTGAAATTCCATAGACAAAGCAATAATAAATGGTGATCTGAGGTTTTCATTAGCCATTCTGTCAACTTGTTGAACCAGGTCATCTGAAGCGACAATTTGCATCCTTGGCCTCCTCCATCATGCACATCATTACGGCCATCTTTAAATTGTTGACACCGTTCAGCACAACACCATCACTCATGAAGTTTCCCCCATACACACGACACATTCTCCTATGGATTTCTGCAGCACTATGGCCTTCAGCCTGTAGAAAACGAATCACACTTCTCACACTCTAAATCACTACTACTAATCACACTTCATTTATAATTGGCGAGAGCATCAATAATGACGGACATGTTTACGTGGTTGTAGCACAAAGCCGACTGATGCCTGAATGTCAACAATGGCGGAGTGTGTAGTGCGAGAGCTGCGCAGTCGCCTACAGTGCATGCCCGCGTAGCGTCTGCACGGAGCGATCTGAGGTTGAAGAAAAACACCCCTCGTACAAGTCTTATATTTACAAAATACCCAAAACAATGGTTAATAAAAATGTATGATTGGTTCATGACACCCTAGCAGTAACAAAATAAATGTTTTATATCATGAATGCAGTTCTTTAGGTTCCTATACAGTAGACTCCCTCTTATCCGGACACCTTTTAACGGGACTACACTCGGCGGGTGTTTATCAGCACATCTAGACTAGATCGGACTAGATCGGCAGGAAGTGGGCGGTACTGAAACGACTGTTCTTGTTGGAAAGATTTGGTGATGACGTGTCTAAATATAATGCTTTCCTAAATTTAAGTCAAATACTGTAAACAGTATGCATTTCAACATTCCGTTTTAACGAGTGTTTGAGGACGTAGGTTTAACCGAAAAAACCGTCATCCGGACTGGCCTCGGTCCGGATAAGAGGGAGGCTACTGTATGTGTTTTTCTTGTTTAAAATGATCTAATTAACTATGCCTGTGTTATATGTGTAGTGTGTAAATACTGTTCTTTACATTTTTGAATCGTTTTTGTAGCTTTATGAAGAATCTCAGCAAGAAAATGAAAGGTTAAGGGAGAAATTGAAAAAAACAGAAGAAGATCTCAAGGAATCCAAAACGCAAGCAGAAAAAAATGCTTCTGTAAGTAATGTTTTATTATGCTCTTGATTATATGGCTAAAACAAAGTTTCCCCAAAAGCCTAGGTAAAAGCCCTTTTTGTTGCCAACAATTTTTCATGGCACTTTGTTTTCATAAATTTAATACCTGCAATTTGAACATTGCCATCTAATCTTATAAAACTGGAAATATGTGGCTAGAAAAACTCATTAAATCTAAAAGGCTTTGATAAGTTTGAAATACCTTTCATATATTGGTCGATATATAAAATAAAATGTGACCAGATTTACAAAACTGAATTTAATCCTCCTCTTTTTTCTTCTTATTGTATATACATTCATTCTTATGTATAGGTTTTTTTCTATCGTAACAGTAAAATCCTAATCTAGAAAGAAAAGTTGTTCTTGTAAAGATAGTTTAGCTAGTAGTTTTGGCTATCTCGGTTTGTTTTTATTTAATGTCCTGAGTACATATTATTATCAATTTATTTTCCAGCCTGGAAAAAATTCCATGTCAGAAATGGAAAAGCGTGAAAGGCGAGCTTTGGAGAGGAAGCTTTCCGAAATGGAAGAAGAACTCAAGGTAAATTTCAATGGTTAAACTTTTTTTAATGCAATAAATTTTTTTCCCCAATATAATATTGTTGTGTTAACCAATTAATAACATTTGCAGCAGTTTTATATTTTGAATGGAACTATACAATGATTATTCAACTATAGTGTCAAAGAATTGCATTTCCTGGCCAATGTAAAACTTGTATTAAAATAGGAAAAAATATTTTGCCATGACAATACTAGAATTGCATTAGCTTTTTAATGAGTGTTGATAACAAAGTGTTTTTAATGTTAAGATTATTTACTTTGTTGTTTCCTTTTAACTAAAATAGTAATTTATTAGTTAAACAGTACTTCAAATAGATTAAATACACACACAAATATATACACTGAAAAATTTTTAACTGATGAGTTAGGGATGTTGTTAAAAATAACTTGTGCTGACCCACCGAAGGCTGGTGCAGTAAGAAAATCAGTTTTACAATTTGTTCTAAACCCTCAATAATAACAGTATGTTTTGCCCCCCAACCACATACAAAATATCTCAAAAAACTTAACCAAATAGATCCCAACTAACCTAATGTCAATAGCTTCAACAGTGATGGAGATATAGAACTTTGCTCGTCTGTCTTCTAATTATTTTCCTGTCATTCCAGCAATTACAAAAGCTCAAAGCAGAAAACGAAAGATTGCGAGCGGAAAACCGAGCGTTGACTCGTGTTGTGTCCAAACTTACTGCCTCTGCGAATGTCGGCAAATAGGTAAAGAGCTCGGTGCATGGTCCATCGCAATCATCCCGGCTTGCGTTTCTGTTCTGAATGGGATCTTTTGCAATTAATCTCCGTTAACACGCCCTTGTGTCCGTCCCACGGTGCTAACTGTGTTCAGTTTCCACGATGTTGTCCATACACTTTTACGTTGATTTTGTTTTTTTTCATGCATAGTTAGAATCTTTAGTACTTCTTCCTGGATAGCCCATGTTTCAGTTTATAGTTTTTGTATCTAACTAGTACTACATTCTTATTTGTACATATTTAGGCGACTTTTGTGTATTTTCCTCAGTTTTAAGTATGTTTGTTGTTTCTTTCTGTTTTGTCTTCATTAACACTTGAGTAAGTCTCGATAGTTCCTCGAAACTATTGTACAAGTCTGGTTTTCTATACTTGATTGTTTTTATAAACTAGCAAACTAATCTTTGAGTGTTGTCTGTGATGGCTGTATATATATAAAGCTTTCAACTCTTTTGGGTGATAATTATTCACTCATCAGGTACAGTTTGATGTCAATAGCTCAGTTATCTATGAGTCATCTGTTATAGATGTGAAGCTTACTAATAAAATGTGAATTTGTGTAGAAATAAATATTCTAATAGCATACAAACAACAAATAGAAAGGTCTTATCCAAGATCTTTTTGATAAGATTGATAATTATGTCTTGAACTAGACACAATAATTGACTTGTATTATTGTGACTATTTCAAATCTTTAACACATACCCTATTAGTCGTGCCACTGAAACAAGCCAAAATTTTACACAGGTGCGTCTGTAATAACCCTACAACACTATTTTCTTCTTAAAACCAAGGGTAATTCAAAATTGCCTTACCTCATAGGTTTTGTTTGACAATGCAGAGAAAGGAATCATCTAGTTTCCTATAAATCATTATCAACTTACCACAAGGGTGCAATTTATATTATTGTTTGGTGGATGCATTTTCACCAAAATGGATTGTCTTTGGAATATTCTCAATTATAAGATGAAATGAAGAAGTGGGGAGATAATTTTCTCATCATCATACAATAATATTACACATAACAATTTTGGTAAATGCAAATAATCCTAATTTATGTAGGATACGCTGCTCTCTATTAATTCTTCTAAAATTTGTTGTTGTTTTTTTGCAGCTAATTGAAAAGCTGAAATGTGAAAATCAGAAGCTGAAGGATGAGAATGGAGCTTTAATAAGGGTGATCAGCAAGTTATCCAAGTGATGGGTGGTACCAACACGACAACTCGTATTTTCCCTTTGCTCGGTTTTATTTATTTATTATAGTCTAATTGCTATTATGTTTATTGAATACCTGGCATCGTTCGGGCCGGTTAGGTCCATGGCCGTTACCAAACGTTGTATATAGTTTCCTATGAGAGTTTAGTACTACATACATGTATACATTTGTTTATTAATTTTTATATAAAAATTATTACATAAGGCCAGTGACTACCACAGTGTCTTCATATCAGTGTGATATAAAATATCACAAACCAAAACAATTAATTGGTTCGTTAGTCAAAGATTAGAGGAAAAACTACGTATTAATTCTGTGATTTTAAAAGTAGTGTATGATTAACAATGAAAAATTCAGTTATTGGCTTGAAGCATTTCACCAGCATTTAAATATTTAACTAGCTTTAATTCAAATTTTAAATCATTCCTGTAGCTCTCTGTAGAATTATGGTATGATTAACTGGTCAAAATATAAACACATTAGCTTTGATAAAATATCATTTATGAATCTATTCTATTAAAAATGTTTATTATGTTTTTTGCTCCTTAACTGGTTGATGATCACACAAAAAATGAACAGCTATATTGAAAAGAGATGGAGTTTCCAATTTTTCATTATTAATTCAATTATATATTTTGAGCAGAAAGCAAAATTTGAAATACTATTCTCCAAAAACTTTGTTCTGGGTTCAACATAACATGTTTTTATTGTTTTTACTAGTCCTCTGTATTATTTGGATTAAATAAGTAGTGTTATAATAGCCTTAACTATCTACATTGAAAAAATATAATTACAAACTAGCAAACTACCTTCACACTCACTGATCTTGTTAAAATACATTGGAAACCAACAAGAGACGTTGATTGTGAAGCTTTGGTGATTTTATCATCTTAATAGTTTTCTCTTCCACATACAATGTGCACTTTAACAGAGACTATACAAATTACTATTTCAAGCTAACTACACAATTTTGAACAGTGACATATCCCAATATCTTTAAAAACTATTTTTTTAAGGTCTAATTTTTATTTTTGATCTATAAGTTCATGGTACTAGGTACTTGAGATTTCCCTCCAAGCGACTTCATAAGAACATCACTGAAGTATCAGTTGTATATAAGTGAAAAATAACATGTATAGTTCTTTAGCTGTTTTACATATCAGAATATTAAACTAACATCTTCATAATTTAAAAGTTCAACTTATTCTTCACACTTAAATATTTCTAAATTATAGCCCATTGCATGAAAGTTAGGTGTCGTCCATAAAATGTGGTTGTTGAATTTTGATAGACCTGATCAATTTTTGTAAATAATAGCATTGTGCACAATCTTCCAATAACATTGAATAATATGTTTAGTACATTTTAAACGTATGGACAATAAGGTTTATCTTTATAACCAAGTATCAGCCTAAAATATTAGTTTCATCTGTTACTGGTATCTATTTAAAAAATGTATAAACGTACATTTTGTTATTATCCAAAATTTATTTAATGTGAAACTATAATTTAAATCTCTTTATGTTATAGAACAGGGAACACCAGCAAATAAACATTTATTGCATGTTATGAAAATGAGGAGCAAAAACTAGGTTTTAGTGTTAAAACACAGCAGCTAGTAGGAACAAGAGTAAAATGACAGAACATGGGTAATAATTATGGTTTAATTTATTCTATACAATAGTTTTATTATTTCGTTAAATTATTCTGTGTTTGTATTCGTTTTATTTTTCATTTTAAGCTTTTGTGTGTATTTGTAGGTCCAAAGTAAATGTTTATTTTCTAGTCCTTAGGTTTTATACCTGTTCGATTGTAGATAGATACAACAGTTAAGACTATTTGGGGTTATGAGGGACTTTTTTTGTACATCTTAGTGCAATACTCGTCTTAAAACTATTGTTAAACTTGTATAGCAAGTTTGCAAATAGCACTCGTTAAAACATTTCACACCATTTTAATAAATTCTTGTACAAATAGATGTCTGATATTTAAATTCTTTACTGTTGTATTTCTGCCGGTTATCTTTTTTTACACCGGTATCTTTTAAGGTTAAAACGATGTGCCTTTTGCTTCATATAAGTTGAAAACTCTTTGTCTATATTATTGTATATCTTGTAAAATTAAGAGTTTTAGTAAATTTTATGTGGCTTTGTTATTTCAATATGCAAATAAAAGTCGAGATTTGTTTAATATGCATCTTCCTTACATCCTTCTTTTTAATATTGGATCACAAGTTTCCTAGTGTTTAGAGTTTGGGAATTTCTCTACTTAACATAACAAATTTCGTCAATTAAATGAGCCATGATTTATAAAACTTTGACAAGTTCAGTACTGTGATTTTAAAATAACTTCAATCAATTAATACAGTGATTGAGAAAAGCATCTAAAATAACAGGATAAGTGTTGACAGAAAATGTTATTTTCACAGATCCAGATTTTCTAAGTTCATTAACTTGACTTCTTTCACTGCACTAGATTCTAAGCCATCCTTCTTCACTTCACCACAGCTCTTGCCTGCCTTCCTCGATCTCTTTCTGTACAGATCTTCTCCAAGTTATTCTTGGTCTTCCTCTCTATCAAAGTTTATTAGGGTAACAAAAAAAAAAAGGATTATGGACATAAAAAAATGACAACCCAAATATAGTTTGATAAATTATACTTATATTTACAAATCTCACAAATTATGATATAAGACATAGTAGTAAGGAAGTTACAAAAACAATAATTGCACAATCGATAAAAAATAAAATATCCTGTTTCAACCGTTATTGATTGAGTTCACTTCGATTTGTTACCGTCCCTGATATTTAAATAATTCCTTAATGAGAGTAGCATTGCTATGTTTTTATTTACAAAAACCGTAACAACCATGATGTGTCTCTGGCAAAAACTTCTTGTTTAAAATAAAAATTGTAGAATCTATATTTAAAAAATGGAATAATCAGAATACTTTAGTTATCACAAATTGAAAGCAAGCTCAAATATAAATGTAGCTGTTACGATGGAACATGTTGGTTACTGACTCAGGTTGTACCACAACAACTTGTTTTGGTTTCTGGTTGAGATGCGGCAAGTTCATCTTCAACCACCACTACATTCCTTCGCATGCTGCTCGTCCGTCCCAGAATGTTGGCTTTCTGTACATCACTCTCCTGCGCTCGCTCCATCATCTGCTTGCTCAGTTCCAAAAACATCTCCTCTATTCCTTTGTTCAGCTTTGCTGACGTGTGAAAATGAGTCGCACCGACAGACTTAGAGTATCTAAAAAAAGCGATACATAAACAGCTGAATTTTGACATTCCCAATACAAAAAAATTAGCACTAGGCCTATAGTGAATATATCTGAAATTGTAAATAAATTCAATATCAATTCAAACAAAACTATTTTCATTTTGTAAATTCATATTTCACAAGAGCAAAAAGTTGAGGATATTAATTTCGCAATAGTTTTCAAAGATTGCAGATTTATTCTTAAGAGCTTGTGTTGTCAAACTTTTTACATTGCTTACATATTCTTTTGATCATTTGGATCGAATCAAATTTAAATTATCTTTATTCACTACATTTTACATACATGAATAGTGTCAAAGCATACAAAATTGGTTATACAACTTAATCTTAAAGACTTAACCATACAATTTGAGAATTATTTTAGAATGGGATAGCCAATTCATTTTTGATTTAAAAACTCATCTATACTATGAGGAGCCAGATTAATTAAGAATGATTTTAATTTCTTTAAAAAATGTGTTTGTTTTGACCTTTTTTAAGTAGTAGTTAATTTTAGTAGTAGTAGTCTTTTTTTAGTAGATCGTGTAAGTTTTTAAGTCAATTGATACTATGCTGGATGAGTTGGGTAAAGTGATCAGGGATCTCACTTACTCAATTAAATGTCAGTGTATGCACATAAAGGCGTACATGCATGCAGAGAACATTGGAATCTGTGGTTAAGGTTACAGGTCCTGTTTAAACTACCTTCTATTAAATGATTAGTCTGTCCTTTCAGGATAAAAGGTATGCATATGTTTCTGCTGCATATTGCATGTACATTCAGTGGTGGTTCTAGGACCTTGTCAAGGAAGGGGCTACAGGGGGGCTTGGGGGGTGTCTGGGGGTCCTCCCCGGGGAAAATTTGGAAAGCCGTTTGGTGACTTTCTAAAGCTATTTTTAACACCTAAAACTGTGCCCAATTGTCCATAAACCCCCATTTCACCTGTTGTTTGTCATGAGCAAGTAGTCATATTATATTATATTACTTTACTAGTCCTGAAAATAGGTGTTTACCGGATGAGTGTGGTCATTCCAGTACAAGACGAAGTCGAGTAGGCCTACAGGATTACCATATGAGTCCGGTAAACACATTTTGGACGACTGACGTACAATATTTTACGCCATACTACTCTAAGCTAACTTAACAATAACATATTTGTACAAATCCTTATATATTCCAATCCGCTAAAGGACTAACAATCACAACTCATAACAGAGGTTATGTTTTTGTTTATAACCACTCATTGTCAAATACTGTATACTCAGCTGGTTGGTGTCCAGTAAAAACTAATTTCAGTAAAGTAATGAAACCCCATTTGATTAAGCTGGCGACAACAGCTGTTTTCTGGACTAAATCCTTGCGTGGAAAGTTCGTTAAAACAGTGTAGTGTGGTGTAAAAAATTAAACTATGACAATTGCATTCATGAATTTTAAAACACAATGTAGACTAAGGTCATATCCTCCCAAAAGCCGTTTGGTGACTTTCTATAGTATATTACTAGTCCTGAAAATAAGTGTTTATCGGACGAGTGTGGTTGTTCACGTGCAAGACGAAGTCGAGTACGGGATTGCCATACGAGTCCGGGAAACACATTTCGAGTTACGTACGATACATACTACTAATCTGTACAAACAAATCCTTATAAATTACCAACTAAAGGACTAAAAATCACCAGTCATAACCTCTAAGAGAGGTTATGTTTTAGTTTATAACCACTCATTGACACCCAAATACAGTATAATCAGCTGATTGGTGTCCGGTAAAGCTCATTACAGTACAGTAGTACGCAATGAAACCCCATTCGATTAAGCTGGTGGCAAACAGCTGTTTTCTGGACTAAATCCTTGCGTGGGAACTTCGTCAAAATAGTGTAGTGTGGCGTAAAAGCCATTTTCAATATCTAGAACTGTGTGCTAAACCTCCCATTTCCCCATTTATTTGTCATGAATAAGTAGACATTTTTAAAACTAATGACGATTTCATTCATTAATCTCAAAACATATTGTAGGTTCCTAAAATCTGTTTACTGACCTTCTAAAGCCATTATTAATGTCTATACCTGTGGCCAACTGTCCAAAAACCTTCCATTTCATTTGTTATATTTTGTTTTTGTCACGAGCCAATAGACATTTAAAAAATTGAACTATGACGAACTTGCATTCATGAATTTCAAAACATATGCCAACTGTAGACAAAAAATCCATATCTCCTAAAAGCCGTTTGGTGACTTTATAAAGCCATTTTTAACATCTAGAACTGCGCCCAATTGTCCTAAACTCTCCCATTTCACCTGTTATATGTCATGCAAGTAAGTAGACACGTTTTTTAACCTTACGTTTTCCTCCATTTCATAGATCTGTCACAATATGTATAGTATCATAAATTCAGTAATAGCATTGACTAGATAACTTTAAACACTAGTGTTTATATAGTCAATGGTAATAGGCTACTGTGGTGCTAACACTGATGGCTGATGCCTGTCTAAGTTAGTAGCTCGCAGACAATTTGACAACTAGGAACATGAAATCAGCTGTTTCCCCGTCCTCGCCGCCCGCCTTTGCCCTGCATGTCAACAGCTGACTGCTGTAAAAATTGGATGATGCGTACAACTTTCCATAGATATTGTATGATATTGTTTTATTCGTTGTTCTATTGCCCCACAAAGTTTATCTATGTGGAACTTAATACTACTCCTGTCATAGCTTATTTAGTTTAATAAAAACTACATTGATGTCTGTTTTATATCATTGCGTGTTTTAAGGACGAAATATGTTTAAAGTTATTTTTACAGGGTCCAAGGGGGGGCTTTAGCTTTAGTTAATTTTAGTCTGACAACATTTTTCACTTTTTGGTGTGGTGTTGGGATAGAGGAAAAAAGTAAACACTGTATTAATTTATTTGAAAACTACACAACAGTGTTAGTTGTTGTTGTTGTACCTAGTTTTTCTAACACATCTCAAAATAAATGTTACGTTAAATAAATTTACTGTAAATAGCAGGTCAAGATGTTGAGTTTAGGGAAAACATTGTGATGAATCAGAGAAAAGGTTAAGCATAAATACGGTTATTGTCCTACTGCTATTAGTGCTAAAAAAATTGCTTAAATCAACATTTTCCAGACAAACCCATTAAATAGGCTACTTACTCTTCAGCATCTGCTACTGGAACTGTTCTTTGCTTCTCCAAGTCAATTTTATTGCCGGCAATCACCAAACAAATGTCACTACCAAGCATCTTCTTCAACTCCTTCACCCAGTTTTTAACCTTGAAAATAAATACTTTGTAAATATCAGACCTCAGACCATATTTGATGCATCAATTGAAACATTTATGGTGCAGTGCACATAAGCAATGCATCCGAGAATCTTGTGAGTGTTTACAGAAGTTTGATAATCAGAGGCGGATTTGGAGATGTGCTCCCCTTTTCTATCCACAATTGGTTGCTCCCACCCTCCCCTCCAACCGTGTATGCTTCTTGGGGTAAGTCGACTCCAAATCACAGTCATCAAATGACTAAATAAGTGCCGTCTGCCTCAACTCGCCTGTCTTTTACCACTAGGCCTATACAGTAGCTGAATCTCCCCACTAGCTTTTGACTTATCTTATTCTCATCACTGTATTATTATTCTTATTTTTTAATTCCATACTTTAATACTTTACAATGAAATGGCGACCATACAAAGTAGGTAAAGCCAAGTATAAATGGAGATGAGTGTAGGATGAGTGGTGCGATCTTGTAGTCTTGTTAGTGACTAAGGCCGACATATTTCTTAGACACAGCTGTTAATTAATAGCCTATACAGCTAATGGAAATTAAGGGACCTACAGTTTATAGTGGAATCCGAACCACATTTTTGCCTTGGTATTAACGAATTGGTCTAATTATCAGGATAGTACTGTGGATAGTGGTAGTACTCA